CTATATATATTAAAATTTAGATTATTAAACTATGTTTAAAAATTATATATTTATTTAAAGAATTGATATATATTTGTAGCTATAGACAACTATAGAATATTTTTTGTTAGTCAGAGTTAAGGTAAAGATAGGATGCGGGTAAAAAAGTGTGGTTTATAACAAAATTTAGCAAGAAATTTTTTGTTTAGAACCCAAAAAATAGTTTCATATACTCAATTTTAAGTTATAACTAATTTTGATTATTTTTAACAAAATTAATATTTGTTTTAAATTTTTCTAATTGTATTATTTTATATCTGATCTTTAAATTTGATTGGCTTTTATGGATTTGATTATAGTAGCTATTGTTACAATGCATTGTCATAATTGATGATTACTAGCAATCAGATAATTATTAGCAATCCGATAAATAATATGATGTGTGATGTATTTACTGGTCACTAATAAACCTATGGATATTCCTTCACATTAGAGGTTACATAATTAATGATTCGGCATCCGATTTCAGATAAAATAATTGATGTATTTACTTCAAAATAAATACTATTATTTAGCGTATAGACTTATTTACATTACCATTTACCGGTAGATATTTATCAAAACAAGCAAATTTTATTAACACGTGTGCCTATTTAATTAACTGAGTCGGAATTTTAAAAATAGAAGTTGGATCTTTTAAACTCCCACTTATTTTCAAAATATATTAATTATGAAATACCATAAAATTAATTAAGAAATAAATTTACTAAAATTAACGCTAATAAAGCTAATAAAAATTATGACAATACTTTAGCATTATGAATTTTAAAATTAATCCTCTGCAGAATTCGATATAACATCATGCTGTGGTGGCCACGGACTCGTAATCGTAATCGTCCGACGTTATATGCAAATGAGCAGGCATTCACTTATTATTAAGATCTATAAAGAGTTATTATGGTAATGTTTAGCGATTAATGTTTCGAAGGAAAGTCTTATTCTTGAATGGAAGGTTTTTATTTGTGTTGATAAAGGTAAGGATTTGTAATAAATGAAGAAATAATAGATTGAAGTTGTTCCGATAAATTTAATGGTAATATTTATAATCTTCGAATAACATTCTTAAGCATATAATTAGTAAATAACCTATATTTACCCATCAACTAACGTAAATAAATAAATTATGCTGCATGATAATTAGTATCGACAAGCCTAAATAAGTATATAGACTAGAAACTAATGCTAATCAAAAAGAACTATATACTTAGAAAATATTATTTGATACAGTAACCAAATATTTATGGGTGCAAATAAATATATGGCAAATGATTCCTTACTAAACTAACACGAAGTAAAGTAACCTAGATAAGAGATATTGTATTATAATTATTACCTATCATCTTGCTACGATCGTACCAACAGTATAATTCGTGTCATTTTGATAATGACTGCATCATTATTAATAACTTAGTCATTTGATAATGACACAATCATTACTAAAAGAACTTAAGTCATTCTTTTAGTCCGGTTATTGTAAGCATTCAGAAAATACCGTTGTTGTATGCTACGCAGCAAATAACTTTTTATCTGGTAGAAATTTAATCTACTTCATTTCTGGGTTCCTTTGAAGATGACATATTAAATTTCACAGCCAAATAATAAATTATTAAATAATTCCATTATTGAACGCTGATGCTGAAATTTGGGTCTTGACTTGAAAATATAAATCCTACTAGAATCTTTATTATAGCTATAACTCTAAATCCTAGCAAACTTCAATATCAGCATGATAATAAATATTTCTTGTGTTCACTAAATTAATGATGAATAGCATTGTGTAATAGTAATTATCCTTAAGCTTGCTATCTTAGTCACATAGGCTAGTAAATAGCTTTATGCTAACTTAATGCAAATCAAATGTACTTAAATAAATAGCATTGCGTGAAAATAAAATATCCATATCTTGAGTATATACTCATATTTATGTGGGAAAACAACATATATAGATCATATAGGAATGGTTGAATCTCACATTTTATCTAGAATACTTTTTAAAAAACGAATTATATATGTTAAAGAAAAAAATATGATAGAAGTTATATTATTTAGAAAGTTAAACCTCTATCGCTATTGATCAAATTAACATGAATAAAGTTCGTTTTATGTGGCCTGTTGAGAATTATTGTCGCGGCTGAAGCTGAAAATTTGATACCTTGATTTAAAAATATAAACTCACTAAAATTTTGAATATTTCATATTAAAATATTTAAAATTTCCAGCTTCAGCCGTTTTCAGCTTTAGCCTCGAAAATTATTAAATTATGGTTTGCTAGTTTTAATACAATTTTTTTTTTTTTTTTTTAATTTTACACTTCAATTTTTGTCTTTCGTGAGATAATATCCGAATAAGTGCAGGTCGCCGTTTTTTTTTTTGTTGCAAGTTATAAAAGTTTTTATTACTGTTACTGTAGTTTTTTCGTTTATTTCAAAGTTTAGACATTTGCCGATTTGAAATTCACAAATCTATATTGATTTGTGTGTATAAACAGATTATAAAACTGGCTAAACGATTAAAAGTAAACAGATATTACATTTTGGAAAGTTTGATTTGGTTAATTACTCGGGTAACTTATTTAAAGTACGTACGTACGTGCGTACGTTTTGAACGTTTCACTAATAAAAATTCATCACAAACACCATTGATAGTTCTATAAAGACATCCTTGTTCAAACTGAAAAAATTTCAGAAAACAAAACATGCCTATCATTTATTGGACCATATCAAATTATTTGTAGAATGAGATAACTGGAAGCGTATTTTTTGTTCAAGACTGCCTTATTATTTATCGTAATAAATTTTTTTTGATTTATAGGTTATAAGTTGTATTAATAATTTTGGGTTATACTACTTTTACTTCACTTTACGTGTATCTACCTATCCTTTACATAAATGGGATTAATTCTTTTGTATATTTATTAATTTATAAGCTTCTTTATATGAAGATTTTTTTACGATGAATCTTTAAAAATTATGTAATTTTATTGGTTAATTATCATGGATGATCACAGGTAGATTTATTAAAAAATTAGCAAATCGGACAACCTTCTTCCTGACTTTAATTTTATTTACTTTAGCGAAACACTATGGTGCGACTTTGTATAATATGTAATAAAGAACGAGCTATTGTCAAACGTCCAAAGACAGGGCAACAAGTTTGCCGAGAGTGTTTTTATTATGTATTTGAAACAGAAATTCATAATACTATTACGGATAATAAATTATTTAAAAAAGGTGATAAAGTAGCTATTGCGGCTTCTGGAGGAAAAGGTTAAAATAATTAATTGTTTAAAATGTCAATAATAGTGATTTTTTTTAAAAAAAATATTGTAATTAATCGATTAATTTTATAAACTTATAGATTCTACAGTTTTGGCATATGTTATGAAACTTTTGAATCAAAGATATCAATATGGTCTAGATCTTTTTCTTTTGTCAATTGATGAAGGAATAACAGGTTATCGAGATGACTCTTTGGAGGTAATAAATGATAATTCTCCCTGCAAATATGTATATATGTTTACTTAATCGTTATTGTTTATATTTAACTTAGACTGTGAAGAGGAACCAGCAACAATATGAGCTTCCACTCAAAATTGTTTCTTATAGTGAATTGTATGGATGGAGTATGGACCAAATCGTTAAAGAAGTTGGATTAAAAAACAATTGTAAGTTATTTATATTTATAGAAACAAAGATAAATTATACCAAGATAATTTATGAACTATACATAAAACCTATTCTTTAGGTACTTTTTGTGGCGTTTTCAGACGCCAGGCATTAGATCGAGGGGCTGTAATTTTGAATGTAGATCATATAGTGACGGGACATAATGCTGATGATATCGCTGAAACAGTTTTGATGAATAGTTAGTTACTTTAATATAATCTGGTCTTTTTTGTTCATATTAC